GCAGAGGAAGAACCTGCTAGAGGACGAGCGCTCCTTCTTCTAGCAGGTTCTTCCTCTGCAGGAAACAGACTGGATGTCTGTGAGCGCAGAGGAAGAACCTGCTAGAGGACGAGCGCTCCTTCCTCTAGCAGGTTCTTCCTCTAGCAGGTTCTTCCTCTAGCAGGTTCTTCCTCTAGCAGGTTCTTCCTCTAGCAGGTTCTTCCTCTAGCAGGTTCTTCCTCTAGCAGGTTCTTCCTCTAGCAGGTTCTTCCTCTGCGCTCACAGACATCCAGTCTGTTTCCTGCAGAGGAAGAACCCAAAGAAACGTGGCTCAGCCTCTCTGCTAATGGATGTGAAAACAAGGAGCAGCGTCTCCGGGTAAAGGATGGGGGTTCTTATGAAGCGGCTCTCACGGGAGAATCATTCCCACTCGGCTCCAATTAGCAGCTGCTCATTACACAGGGGTTTTAATGAGTCTCTATTTTAAACTTCTTTGTGTCTGAAAGTCTTTGTGCTTTTTGTTCCTGCATCTCTTCTTCTTCTGCTGTTTCCTCATCTTTAGCCTTACACTCATCTTTCGGTTCGTCGGAGCACATTATCAGAGCTGAGAGGGGGAATCAAACCATTGCTTTTTAATCATGCTTTTCTGAGAAGAGCCTGTCGGTGCTTCCGTCTCTTTGCTCCCAATGTTTCAGGACACTAATATTAACACGTTCATTTCTGCCCTTTTTTCTTTTTGTAGGACGTTGGTTTTGTGTTTTGTTATGTTCTCTAAATAAATGTAAATGTAGGCCTCCACCTTGGGCTGCTCTCAGAGTCGTGTCTCCTTATTCCTGCTAGAGTGCTTTATTTGATGTTGGTATGCAGCGTGTTGATTATTCTCTCAGAGCTAAGTGCTCTGTGTCGCCTCGTGTCTGCAGAACATGTTTTTGTCAATTCTCCGACCGTAACTTCGTAATAAACCTTCAGTGTTTGCCATCAAGCTCCAGCTCTCCCGTCTCTCTGTGTGTCCATTACAGTGATCGTATGTTGTTGTTGTTGTTGTTAAGGTTTTTTTGCCAGGTTAGTTTGAAAACTATATATTTATGGAGTTTGTTTTTCAAGTTGTTTTTGATTCTCAGTGTAATATAAGTCTGTTACATCTCACCTGTAAAAGCAACAGTATTGACCAACTGTTATTATAAATCATTTATGTAATCAAACGTTATCCTCTGGGTGATGTATCCTTTACTTTTGAATCCTTGTAGCTCCCTCAAAGCAATGTGTCGGATACTTCAGCTGCTTCTGGGCCTTAAGACACAGGAGGGGTTCAAACCTCTACATTACCCAACATGCATTACAAAAGCATCTTTGTGTCAGACGCTCGCTGCCAGCTAAAGCCCACATTTCTCTGTCTAAATGTGGAATGTATTTAAGGCATGGGCTTCTCACCGAGTTCAGCCATGGACAGTGAGGAAGGGTCTCCATCGCTGAGGGGGCAGAGCGGGAAGAAGCCGTTGTTGGAATTTAAATCGCTCAGAGGCTCCGGTTTGATGCCGTTAATATCGAGACCCGACTGATCAGGGGACGGCTGGATGTCCAGGTAGAAACCCTGAGTTTCTCCTCTTCCTCCTCCTCCTCTTCCTCTTCCTCTTCCTCTTCCTCTTCCTCCTCCTCCTCCCCCTCTTCCTCCTCCTCCTCCTCCCCCTCCTGAGTCTGCCTGTTGTGGAGGAGAAGCTCTTATAGGTCATGTGAACTTTTGGTAATTCATGTCAGAATTCAGAAATATCGCTGAACAATTACAGAGGCTGTGCCATTGACTTACATTGGAAAAGAGACGTCCGTACATCCTAATACGAATGCTTGAATAGCCCTAATTTAAATCATTAGGATCCAAAAATGTGATTGGAGGCGGTGCTTACAGGTGAGAGGCGGGGTTTAATGATGGGAGGCGGGTTAAAGGAAAAACTGCTTTATTGGCCAAAAGATTCCCGAAGTTACAGATATTTTTTTACGTCAGAGTCAGGACATTCAGGCCCCGCCTCCGATGCTGTATCCTGTTCTGCATTTTGCCATATTTCACATTGGGACACACCAAGTTCAGAAATACCCGTTGTATGACCCAACGACATGGCCTTTTGACATGTCTCAATGAATGCATCAGGGTGTAGAGTAAAGACCACCAACCTTTGAAGACACTGACCCTCCTTCAGGGGAGTTTTGCACCATGTATCCCTCGTCCTGCAGCTCTGTGATGCTGGAGGTCGGGGGGCCGTAGAGGGGGGAGAGCTGCTCGGCCTCCCCCAGGATCGGGGTCTCAATGCTGGGGAGAGTCAGGAGGAGAGAGGGTCCCTCCTGGTTCTTCTGTTGCTGGAGGAGGTGTTTCTGAACCTCAGCGTACAGACTGTCCCGCTGCTTCTTCGACATGCGGCCGAACTTCACAGCTGGGATTGAGGAAGAGGGGGAGATAACTGAGTAAGGAAGTATTATGTAAGGGATGTTCTTTTCCCCATAAAGACCAAGTCGCTGCACATTATCCCGCTTATTACAAGGCCAGATAAACAAACGAACGACTCAACCCCCAATATTAATTTAAATGATTTTATTGACTAAAACATGATCCTATTTCTTCCGCTAAGAAAAATAAAACTCCGTGCCACAGCGCACCAACAGCTGGAACTGCGACAACAACTACTTTATGGCAGCACCGTCCAAATCTATGTACAGTTTCTGATTGACTAAAAATCGATGCTAGATGACTTCCAAGTGCGTTTGATAGTTGACGCCAAGGGACCCTGACATAACGTCAATATAGGACGAGTTGGGAGTAAGAACGTGTTGGTTTCTTTAGGTTTGTGTGTGTGTGTGTGTGTGTGTGTGTGTGTGTGTGTGTGTGTGTGTGTGTGTGTGTGTGTGTGTGTGTGTGTGTGTGTGTGTGTGTGTGTGTGTGTGTGTGTGTGTGTGTGTGTGTGTGTCACCGTCTCTGGACATGCCCACAGTCCGACACTTCTGCAGACGGCAGTGTTGGCAGCGGTTTCGGCTCGTTCGGTCGATCAGACAGTTTTTCTGTCGCGGACACGAGTAGCTGGCGTTGCTTTTCTGACTGCGTCTGAAGAAACCCTGAGAGAGGAGGGGAATGTTAAATAAGTGCAAGACAAGCGGAAGAGATTTTTATTCTACGTCATAAAATACGTCAGTAAATACCCCACTGGTGAATTTAAAAACGGCGGTTGCTAACAAGAGTCTAAATGAGACGACTAAACGTCATCAGGCACAACATTAGCCACCTTTAGCTTAGCATAGTAATGTGAAGTCATGTGACCGTGCTGTAGTTCCTTTATAGCCTAACATTAGCCACCTTTAGCTTAGCGGTGGTGACGTGAAGTCATGTGACCGTGCTGTAGTTCCTTTAAAGCCCAACATTAGCCTCCTTTAGCTTAGCGGTGGTGACGTGAAGTCACGTGACCGTGCTGTAGTTCCTTTATAGCCCAATATTAGCCACCTTTAGCTTAGCGGTGGTGACGTGAAGTCATGTGACCGTGCTGTAGTTCCTTTATAGCCCAATATTAGCTGTCATTAACGATAGCTTTTTACTTGACTAAGACTCTTTCTAAGACATTCAAATTATATTTTTTTGGAATCATGTTTCTGTGCTCCACTTTCCAGCGTTCCCTTAACAAGCTCTCCTCCCATCATGCTCTCTGTTCTGTGTTTGCATGCTGATGATCTCGTTGGCAGTGAAATGAGCCTCCAGCTGTCCGACAGCAGCTGAACACACTTTGTGTTCCGGGGAAAAGTTTCTGAGCCAGATGAAAACTGAACGTCAATGTTTGCCTGATTCTGCTAATAAGACTCTGAGATAGAGAAGAAGGAGCTGAAGGAGAACAGGAATTGAGTTTTTTTTGTAAATCCCAGGATATGAGATGTTACACCAGACAGAAGCATTGCTATTGTTAATATCTGTGCAATTCTACACATAAGTGAAGTATAAAAAGGATAGAGCACATTATATACAACACGACTTGCTTTACAGAGGATTTAAAGCACAATCAAACCAACGATGAAATGATTAAATAACTGAGCCGGCAAAGTTATAATGCTTTTTACAGTTAGCCAACTGGACTTTTATCCATTAAACAAATGTAAAACACATAAAGCATTGTGAACATTTGAAAAACAATGTCATTAAACTGTATGATATCTCAAAACCTTAAAAAAAATGAAAAAATATATTTTTTCTTACAGAGAGGAAACTAGGGCCCGATTCCAAACCACACTTTTATGTGTTTTTTTCAAACTCATATCTTTTTTGTTAACATATTTTTGTTATAAAATATGATGTTTATAAAGCTGCTTAGTTTTTGCAACAGTGCCTGTAAATATACAACAGTTTTACAGTTTTCTAGACTAAACATGAGTAAATTATCCGAAGATAAACAACAATACGAGGTAACATGAAGTTGTTAACATCTGTATGTCGATATTAAATGTCTATCTTGTTGTGCAGTTTATCAGTGAATGTTTTGCAGAAACTATTTGTAAACAGTGTGTTTCATGACAGAGACGTGCAAACGGAGGGGTAGTGTGTAGGGGGCAGTTTGGAATTGGGCCTAAATGTTAAGGATGAACAGGAAGTTAGAGGATATACAGGAAGTGATGAAGAGGAAGGGGCGGGGCTTACCTTACAGCCCTCACAGGTGATCACCCCGTAGTGGATCCCCGAGGATTTATCTCCACAGATCTTACAGGGGATGATTTCAATCTGAGCTGCAGACACACAGAGGTTAGAGGTAATAGCGTCAACATAAAATCAACCAGCCATCAGTCATCACATCTAGATGGCAAGAGTACACACATCCTTTACTCAAGAAGAAGTACAGATACTCGTGTTTAAAGATACTCTAGTAAAAGTAGAAGTACTGACTAAACTTCTTTACTCAAGTAAATAGGCTTTGAAATGTACTTAAAGGTGGGGTAGGTAAGTTTTAGAAACCGGCTCGAGATACACTTTTTGCTATATTCCATGGAATGCTCTTAACATCCCGATAGCAATGAATATCTTTGACAACAAATCCATAAAAAAATGTCATCTGTGGAAGCCGTAGTGCTGTAAAAAGCACGACCAATCATCTGAGCCGGCCCGGTTAAAAGTAACTGGATGGCCTACCTGCCTGTCGGCCTTCCATCTGTGCACAAACTTATCTCGTGCCCTCATTGGTCATGTGCGCGTTCGTGTGTGTTGGAGGAGGGGCTCTATGAGGAAGTGGCAGATTTCTTCCGGCTGTGTATTTTCAAATTCTAGCGCACTCGAGCTGGTTTCTCCAAAATGACCTACCCCACCTTTAAGTAAAAAGTACCCATAACTAGCAGCTGTTTTAAAGAGTACCTGACCTCCCTTTATATTAATAGAACAATAATGTCATTGTTAGCTAATGAATGTTTCCATGCTGAACAACGGCAACATGACAACGTTTCCATTGGTCCCTCTTCTTTAGAGAAGAGCAGGAAATGATGGATACACGGATCGTGTTCAAATCAATAGACACGCAATGACTCTAAAGAATAATGATCACGCACCAAACACACATTCAAACTAAAGTTTTTCTCAGATCTACTTCATATAGTAAACAAGTCTCTTCACTCAGGTGTTTTTCCACAGGCCCTGAAAACTGCAGTCATTAAACCGCTCTTAAAAAAGCATAATCTAGATGCTTCAGTAATGAACAATTACAGGCCCATATCAAACCTCCCATTTCTAGGTAAAATCATTGAAAAAGTAGTTTTTCAACAGTTGAGTAATTTCTTGAATTTAAATAACTGTTTCGATGTGTTCCAGTCAGGCTTTCGTCCAAACCACAGCACTGAGACTGCTCTTGTAAAGGTCTTCAATGACATCCACTTAAACACAGACAGTGGCAGAACTTCAGTGTTAGTATTATTAGATCTCAGTGCTGCGTTTGACACTGTTGACCACAGCATATTACTAGACCGACTGGAAAACTGGGTGGGACTTTCGGAAACAGTTCTGAATTGGTTTGAATCCTACTTAAAGGACAGAAACAACTTTGTTTCTATAGGTAAATACACATCTGAGTTGACAAATATGACATGTGGGGTTCCTCAAGGCTCCATCTTGGGGCCTCTTCTCTTTAACATCTACATGCTACCACTGGCTCAGATAATGAAGAACAACAAAATAAGTTACCATAGCTATGCAGATGACACACACATTTACATAACAATTTCACCAGGAGACTATGCTCCAATTCAAACACTGAGTAAGTGCATTGAACAAATCAATGACTGGATGTGTCAGAACTTTCTCCAATTAAACAAAGATAAAACTGAGGTAATGGTTTTTGGAGCCAAGGCAGAACGTATAAAAGTTAGCGCTGAGCTTCAGTCTGCAATGTTCAAAACAACAGATAAAGCCAGACATCTATGTGTAGTCATGGACTCTGACCTGAGTTTCAACAGTCACATTAAAACTGTTACTAAATCAGCCTACTATCACCTAAAGAATATATCTAGGATTAAAAGACTAATGTCACAGCAGGATTTGGAAAAACTTGTCCATGCTTTTATCTTCAGTAGACTCGACTACTGCAATGGTGTCTTCACAGGTCTCACTAAAACATCTATTAGGAAGCTGCAGCTGATTCAGAACGCCGCTGCTCGAGTCCTCACTAACACTAAGAAAGTGGATCACATCACTCCAGTTCTGAAGTCTTTACACTGGCTTCCTGTGTGTCAAAGAATAGATTTCAAAATACTGCTGCTGGTTTATAAAGCACTGAATGGTTTAGGCCCAGGATACATTTCTGACCTCCTGCTAAATATGAACCATCCAGATCTCTCAGGTCTTCAGGGACTGGTCAGCTTTCTGTCCCCAGAGTCAGAACTAAACATGGAGAAGCAGCGTTCAGTTATTATGCTCCAAATATCTGGAACAAACTCCCAGAAACCTGCAGGTCCGCTGCAACTCTGACTACTTTTAAATCCAGGCTGAAGACTTTTCTTTTTGTCGCTGCTTTTAATTGAAACTGAGCCGTTGTGTTCATCAGTAAAGTGGAACTTCTGTGTTTTCATATCTTAAACTGCACTATAACTTTTTATTCATGTAATTTTTATTCATGTATTTTTTGTTTTAATGTTTCTTTTATTATCTTTTTTTTAAATGCCTTTGTCTGAATGTCTTTCATTTTTGTAAAGCACCTTGAATTGCCTTGTGTTGAAAGGTGCTATATAAATAAAATGGCCTTGCCTTGCCTTGCCTAAAGGAACCAGCCTGTTTGGAAAATGAGAGAAGTAGAAAGTACAGGTATTTGGGTTCAACATGTAAGAAGTAGAAAGTACAGGTATTTGGGTTCAACATGTAAGAAGTAGAAAGTACAGGTATTTGAGTTCAACATGTAAGAAGTAGAAAGTACAGGTATTTGAGTTCAACATGTAAGAAGTAGAAAGTACAGGTATTTGTGTTCAACATGTAAGAAGTAGAAAGTTCAGGTATTTGGGTTCAACATGTAAGAAGTAGAAAGTACAGGTATTTGTGTTCAACATGTAAGAAGTAGAAAGTACAGGTATTTGTGTTCAACATGTAAGAAGTAGAAAGTACAGGTATTTGTGTTCAACATGTAAGAAGTAGAAAGTACAGGTATTTGAGTTCAACATGTAAGAAGTAGAAAGTACAGGTATTTGGGTTCAACATGTAAGAAGTAGAAAGTACAGGTATTTGTGTTCAACATGTAAGAAATAGAAAGTACAGGTATTTGTGTTCAACATGTAAGAAGTAGAAAGTACAGGTATTTGTGTTCAACATGTGAGAAGTAGAAAGTACAGGTATTTGGGTTCAACATGTAAGAAGTCAAAGTTAAAAGTCGTCAGAAAAATAAGTAGTGGAGTAAAGTACTGATACCAGACACATTTACTTGAGTACAGTAACAAAGTATTTGAACTCCAATACTTCTCACCTCTGGTTATAATAGAAGCAGGAAAGGAGGGAAATAAATAAAGACAAACACTGCATCTGCATTTGCCAGATGCAACTAAAAGTAAATAATCCCAAGATAACAGAGAGTGTTTATTTTTGCAATTTATGAAGAAAAAAAACAAAACAATGTGGAAAAAAACAACTGGACATTGAAAAGATTAGGACTGAACGAGATTAATAATTTTTGGGATGTAACATTTCACTAAAATATAAATCAGATTATGTCCCTTTCATCTGCCAGACAAATTGACATTATAGAAAACACAGGCCGTGTATTTATACACTCAGCAGACTGTAACAGATTGACAGCTCTGAGAGGATATATCAGGGGTCGGCAAACCCTGGCACGCGTGCCAGGGGTTGCCGACCAGCATTGGCACGCGGCACCGTAACCAGTGGCACACTAGGAATAAGTGGAATAAGTGTGCAAAATATTTAAATTGTATTTTCGGATCCTGAACGAGACCGCCGCCAGAGCGCGTCTCCCCGTTACCTGCAGAAGGAAGCCATGCACGCAGCGCAGCCCCGCTCTCTTTAACTCCAGGTGACTTTCTGCCGCTTTCCTCTGTGGTGCTGATCATTTCACCACGGAGGAAAGCACTTCACAAATTGTAGGAGCTGTACAAATGCCGCAGTTTTTGCGTGGCTGTGTCTTTAGTGGAAAACCCAGGGGCGATCTGCTCATCTCTCATCGAAATAATATGCTACAAAGGGGCGGACTGGCCACCTGTGTGTTGAACTTTCCTGTCGCCTCCCAGACCGTAGTGGAGGAGGGCAGAAGCAACAAGCTTCAGGTTCAATAACCCACTTTAGCTTCAATGACTGGAGAGAGGCGAGCTCTTCTTGGGAGGCCGTTGCATTTATTTAGCTGTTTTTCTGTTTCACAAAATACATCACAGACCTCTGATAGTTGACGATCGTCAAGCTCCTCACCCCCCCCCCCCCGTTGATAATTCTCGATCGTTGGCACGCTGATAACAATTTTTTTTTTAAATGGCACTTCATATCAAAAAGGTTGCCGACCCCTGGGATATATTAAGCAGAGGGAAGTTATACACACACACACACACACACACACACACACACACACACACACACACACACACACACACACACACACACACACACACACACACACACACACACACACCCTCCCTATTTGTCTGCAGAAACACGTCTGGCTATAATCTGCTCCTGGATCAAATGTATGTTATTAATCTTTCTCCAAAACAACACCTTGAAAATGTAAAAAAAAAAAGTGTAGGATTAAACAACACATCCTCACTCCCAGGTCGGCCTATGTTGACGTTATGTCAAGTCCCCTGTCGGCTTTTTCCAACGCAAGGGGGGGGCCTTAGCGTCCATTTTCAACGCAAGGGGGGGGCCCTTAGCGTCCATTTTCAGCTTTCCGGGATGTCCATATGCTTCTATGGGCGCTCATGGAAGCACGGCATTCGTTTGTGTCGACTGCCCTTAAAGGCAATGTGAGCGTCCATTCTCATTGGATAACGGAGAATTGTACACCCGGAAGTAAGTATTCCCCTTACTGTCGATTGATTTTACAGTGATATCTGCACTACTCATCGACTAAAAACACCAGATTATCCTTGTTAATTACACAACATTGATTGGTTTAAATTGTGTGCAATGCTTTTGTATTTTTCCCCTTCGATTCGGAGAAACAAATATTTTTTCTGAGTAAAGGATGGCAGAAGACACTACACTACCCAGAATCCCCAGCTATCGTTTGGACTACACCATGTGCTCTGTTTGACAA